AAATAAATAACCAGTATTTGAGATGCTTCCGCATAATTGGGAAAGTTAGTTGAAAATTCTAACTAGTTAGAAGTTATTAGTTAGTCCCGTAAAAAGTAACTGATAGAAGTTATTAGTTAGTTAATTTAAAAACAAACGAATAAAATAGAAGTTAGCCAAAAAACTAATGAATAGTGCTATTCGATAGAATTTCTATTCGTTATTCCCAAGTATGATGATTTGCATATGGCCAATGGTAATACAAATATGGTTGATGATACAATTCTAATGAGGCTTAAGCAGTACCATTTCAGAGGGGGGAAATGAGGTTTTTTTCTAGTTATGTGCTCCAATCATCACTGTTTCCAGGTGGACCACAGAAATCAGGTGCAGATATTGAGGTCTCTGCAGCAAGATCTCATACAACAGAATGTCCAGGTCTAATCTAGAGTGTTACAGTATCTCAGCAGTTATCACTTGTTCCAGGCGGAACACAGAAAGCAGGTGCAGATATTGAGGTCTCTGCAGCAAGATCTCATACAACAGAATGTCCAGGTCTAATCTAGAGTGTTACAGTATCTCAGCAGTTATCACTTGTTCCAGGCGGAACACAGAAAGCAGGTGCAGATATTGAGGTCTCTGCAGCAAGATCTCATACAACAGAATGTCCAGGTCTAATCTAGAGTGTTACAGTATCTCAGCAGTTATCACTTGTTCCAGGCGGAACACAGAAAGCAGGTGCAGATATTGAGGTCTCTGCAGCAAGATCTCATACAACAAAATTTCCAGGTCTAGCCTAGAGTGTTACAGTATCTCAGCAGTTATCACTTGTTCCAGGTGGAACACAGAAAGCAGGTGCAGATATTGAGGTCTCTGCAGCAAGATCTCATACAACAGAATGTCCAGGTCTAGCCTAGTGTGTTACAGTATCTCAGCAGTTATCACTTGTTCCAGGTGGAACACAGAAAGCAGGTGCAGATATTGAGGTCTCTGCAGCAAGATCTCATACAACAAAATGTCCAGGTCTAGCCTAGAGTGTTTCAGTATCTCAGCAGTTATCACTTGTTCCAGGTGGAACACAGAAAGCAGGTGCAGATATTGAGGTCTCTGCAGCAAGATCTCATACAACAGAATGTCCAGGTCTAGCCTAGTGTGTTACAGTATCTCAGCAGTTATCACTTGTTCCAGGTGGAACACAGAAAGCAGATGCAGATATTGAGGTCTCTGCAGCAAGATCTCATACAACAAAATGTCCAGATCTAGCCTAGAGTGTTACAGTATCTCAGCAGTTATCATTTGTTCCAGGTGGAACACAGAACGCAGGTGCAGATATTGAGGTCTCTGCAGCAAGATCTCATTCAACAAAATGTCCAGGTCTAGCCTAGAGTGTTACAGTATCTCAGCAGTTATCACTTGTTCCAGGTGGAACACAGAAAGCAGGTGCAGATATTGAGGTCTCTGCAGCAAGATCTCATACAACAGAATGTCCAGATCTAGCCTAGAGTGTTACAGTATCTCAGCAGTTATCACTTGTTCCAGGTGGAACACAGAAAGCAGGTGCAGATATTGAGGTCTCTGCAGCAAGATCTCATACAACAAAATGTCCAGGTCTAGCCTAGAGTGTTACAGTATCTCAGCAGTTATCACTTGTTCCAGGTGGAACACAGAAAGCAGGTGCAGATATTGAGGTCTCTGCAGCAAGATCTCATACAACAAAATTTCCAGGTCTAGCCTAGAGTGTTACAGTATCTCAGCAGTTATCACTTGTTCCAGGTGGAACACAGAAAGCAGGTGCAGATATTGAGGTCTCTGCAGCAAGATCTCATACAACAGAATGTCCAGGTCTAGCCTAGTGTGTTACAGTATCTCAGCAGTTATCACTTGTTCCAGGTGGAACACAGAAAGCAGGTGCAGATATTGAGGTCTCTGCAGCAAGATCTCATACAACAAAATGTCCAGGTCTAGCCTAGAGTGTTACAGTATCTCAGCAGTTATCACTTGTTCCAGGTGGAACACAGAAAGCAGGTGCAGATATTGAGGTCTCTGCAGCAAGATCTCATACAACAGAATGTCCAGGTCTAGCCTAGTGTGTTACAGTATCTCAGCAGTTATCACTTGTTCCAGGTGGAACACAGAAAGCAGATGCAGATATTGAGGTCTCTGCAGCAAGATCTCATACAACAAAATGTCCAGATCTAGCCTAGAGTGTTACAGTATCTCAGCAGTTATCACTTGTTCCAGGTGGAACACAGAACGCAGGTGCAGATATTGAGGTCTCTGCAGCAAGATCTCATTCAACAAAATGTCCAGGTCTAGCCTAGAGTGTTACAGTATCTCAGCAGTTATCACTTGTTCCAGGTGGAACACAGAAAGCAGGTGCAGATATTGAGGTCTCTGCAGCAAGATCTCATACAACAAAATGTCCAGATCTAGCCTAGAGTGTTACAGTATCTCAGCAGTTATCACTTGTTCCAGGTGGAACACAGAAAGCAGGTGCAGATATTGAGGTCTCTGCAGCAAGATCTCATACAACAAAATGTCCAGGTCTAGCCTAGAGTGTTACAGTATCTCAGCAGTTATCACTTGTTCCAGGTGGAACACAGAAAGCAGGTGCAGATATTGAGGTCTCTGCAGCAAGATCTCATACAACAAAATGTCCAGGTCTAGCCTAGAGTGTTACAGTATCTCAGCAGTTATCACTTGTTCCAGGTGGAACACAGAAAGCAGGTGCAGATATTGAGGTCTCTGCAGCAAGATATCATACAACAAAATGTCCAGGTCTAGCCTAGAGTGTTACAGTATCTCAGCAGTTATCACTTGTTCCAGGTGGAACACAGAAAGCAGGTGCAGATATTGAGGTCTCTGCAGCAAGATCTCATACAACAAAATGTCCAGGTCTAGCCTAGAGTGTTACAGTATCTCAGCAGTTATCACTTGTTCCAGGTGGAACACAGAAAGCAGGTGCAGATATTGAGGTCTCTGCAGCAAGATCTCATACAACAAAATGTCCAGGTCTAGCCTAGTGTGTTACAGTCAACGATCACATAAGACCAATAGATGGAGCATGTTGGCCGCGACGTGAAGCCAGTATTTTTCACTAATCTACAACAAGATGGCGGCTGCCGGCTGTGATGAGCCCTAGTAGCACGCGCAGCTAATTAAATGTTAGTTGATAGCAATGGTATCCATGACAATACGCCTTTGTATTACAAATATTTGTGTTACTAACACAATGACCTTCAAAATACGCTTTTGATTTTTTTTCTAATGTTTACCGTTTCTTAGAAAAAGTTAGTTTACATAATTAACAACAAAAACTTTTTGGGCGAAAGGAAAATTCTGAAAAGCTACAAATCTGTTTATAATATATGTATCTACATCGTATTAAAGTTTGATAAAGTTCTGATGTTTGGTTTACAATCTACGAATTTTCAAAGTGACAAGATCATTTCTGAAACTCTTTGTACAACTCTCCTTTATATTCTGACTGTCATATTAATTTTTATGAAAGAGCTAAAAAATATTAATTTTTAGATGAATACAAAGAATAAAACGAAGAAAAGTTATATGTAATCCGTGTTTTTCTAATTAGTTTAGTAACTTTTCTGTATAGCTCCAAATTTGAGTATCTAAACTGTATTACAAGTGACGTTGTAGGCAGAATCTGCCCGCATGACGCCACGCGGCGCGGCGGGTAGCCCCTATATTACAATTTAAATTACAACCAAACTACGCCAGCTAAAAATTTAAAAAATATGACCCAAAAGGTTCAACTCTTTAGCTACAAAATCCACCGTTTTTTAACTTACCTGACCAAAAAATAAAAAAAGTAGCAGCCGACGAACTTTTTCATGTCATATTTTAAAACTCATTTAAAAGTACCGACTTTATTTGAAGATTTAAAATAGAAAATACTAACTTTTAAGCTTTTAATTAAAACCAATAGTGACATCGACTTATTGATTTCACTCATACGAAGCTTCAACCATATAACTTAAGTATAAGTAGGCTAAATGTCGAGTTATTTTGAAGCGGAACATTGAGTTTTGGTGCCGTTTTCATCGACATCTAGCGCTTCTATCCTACAACAAGATGGCGGACCTGGCTTCACCTGCTTTAATGTTAGTTAGATAGGAGTGCTCCATCTATTGGTCTTATGTGATCGTTGGTTACAGTATCTCAGCAGTTATCACTTGTTCCAGGTGGAACACAGAAATCAGGTGCAGATATTGAGGTCTCTGCAGCAAGATCTCATACAACAGAATGTCCAGGTCTAGCCTAGTGTGTTACAGTATCTCAGCAGTTATCACTTGTTCCAGGTGGAACACAGAAATCAGGTGCAGATATTGAGGTCTCTGCAGCAAGATCTCATACAACAGAATGTCCAGGTCTAGCCTAGTGTGTTACAGTATCTCAGCAGTTATCACTTGTTCCAGGTGGAACACAGAAAGCAGGTGCAGATATTGAGGTCTCTGCAGCAAGATCTCATACAACAGAATGTCCAGGTCTAGCCTAGTGTGTTACAGTATCTCAGCAGTTATCACTTGTTCCAGGTGGAACACAGAAAGCAGGTGCAGATATTGAGGTATCTGCAGCAAGATCTCATACAACAAAATGTCCAGGTCTAGCCTAGAGTGTTACAGTATCTCAGCAGTTATCACTTGTTCCAGGTGGAACACAGAAAGCAGGTGCAGATATTGAGGTCTCTGCAGCAAGATCTCATACAACAAAATGTCCAGGTCTAGCCTAGTGTGTTACAGTATCTCAGCAGTTATCACTTGTTCCAGGTGGAACACAGAAAGCAGGTGCAGATATTGAGGTCTCTGCAGCAAGATCTCATACAACAGAATGTCCAGGTCTAGCCTAGTGTGTTACAGTATCTCAGCAGTTATCACTTGTTCCAGGTGGAACACAGAAAGCAGGTGCAGATATTGAGGTCTCTGCAGCAAGATCTCATACAACAAAATGTCCAGGTCTAGCCTAGTGTGTTACAGTATCTCAGCAGTTATCACTTGTTCCAGGTGGAACACAGAAAGCAGGTGCAGATATTGAGGTCTCTGCAGCAAGATCTCGGACAACAAAATGTGGAGGTTTAACCTCTGATTCCATCAGCTCACCCATACTTTTATACCTAGTTAGTTACACAATCATTTGCTACTTTATCAATAAGTTTGTTAATTTGTAAATTTTTGTATAGTTACCACTTAATGTTATTTGTGATTTGCACATATTTTATGTGGACTGTCTGGAGCTTTAGGTTAGTCAAGTGAAGGCAGTGACCATAATACTTTATAATTTTTTGAATACTCTTTATACCAAATCAACAAAAGTAAAGGAAACAGTTCCTTTACCAATCATATTTGGGTTCTAACATGTTATTAAAACAAAACCATAGTAAATATTTTATAATGTTTTTGCTTTTGTCCAGGTTTTCTAATCCAACACAATTTGGTCTCCTTCACTGTCTTTATTTTTATTAAAGGAAGTCAAGTGGTTAGATTTATTTATGTTAGCATATGTTTAGTACATTAGTGGTTTCAAATGTACATAATTTAACCTATTCTGTTAAAAATAATATTAATTAACTTATTAACTGATGGGTTAAGTCATTGCTGAAAATTCGGTCATTTATTTTCCGAGTAGACTGAAAATAAGTAAAGTGTCTTAACCAAGTCTGAAGGATTGAGACTGGATAGCCGATTGCCATAGCATATGTTACGTTAGCTAGGACTTGTTGAAATAACGGCAACTTTGTAAAATTCAGTTATTGTGTTAGATTAAAGCTTTAAAATAAATATTTAGGCATAAGAATAGTATTTTATTGTGAAATTTTGTTACAGCGTTGTCGTTTATTCAGATATATGATATTATGTTGCTTTTTGCTAAAAAAGATTGTTATAATTTAATTTTTTATGAACTTGTTAGGAATTTTGTACTGTTTTATTTTTAACGAATTTATTCGGTCTTGAAGTTATGTGCAATTTTAACTTTATATTTTTCCAGCTTGGTTTTTTTTCTGTTGTTTAAATCTATATTATATGTTTTGGAAGGTTTTGTTAAGAGTCCAACTCAGAGAGACTGTGGTCCTACTTCTCACTCTGTAGTATTCCGGTCCCGACTTTGTCACCCAACATTGTAATTATTGACTATACAGAACGTTAGTTTGCACCCTAGATCACCTCTCAATGGTAGTTGTAACCACTTGTAAAAAGATGTCTTTTTATAACTTAAAATAAGTATGAATTAAACACAATCTTAAAACAGAGAAGATTTAATTTAATTAATATTTTTAGAAAGTTGAACCATTTTTAACATTTACTGGTCAATGTTAAATTAAATATGTTAAAATTTTGTTAAGGTTTGATTTTTTTAATACAACAAAATTTTTGCAAGATTCTTTATTGTAATTTTTAATTGAAAAAAATGCTTATTCAGTAACAACCTAATGAACTCGATAATTTGTGGTCCCTGGGGTAGTCAAGTTATCCAGAATATTGAAATTTTAATGGGTCTTCATAAATGAATGCATAACAGACTAATTTTTACACATGAATTTATTGCTTATGAGTATTTTTACATATTGAGCAAACAATTTTCAAAGAAATGTTGAATATGTAACAATTAAATCAAAATTTTCTGAACACTAGTTTGTTTTGTATGCAGCCTGTCAGCTGCAGCCTGTCGAGATAGTGAGGTTTTACTATATAACAAATATGCAGATTTTGTATTCGCAATATATAAATAACAGAACTGTTCACGTGCTACAATATGTGTATATTGTATTTTCAAAAGCTGTTGATAGTTTGTCTTGCACTGAAAGAATGTATGTAAAAAAGTTATATAAATAATACAGCTGTTTTTTATTTACATATTTTGGGCTCAACTTGGGGAAATATCTTCTATATATTACTATAGTTCGGCCGCTTAGAAAACGACCTGTACGATAATGCTAAACCAATGCTAGAGGAGGTCGCTTTCTAAGCGACCGAACTATACAAACAATTTTTAAACTTTTGAAGTGTTACTCCTTGACATTTACACAAATTTTCTAAGCTCTTTTATACAAAATATAATAGGGGTTTGATGCTATATTATATTCCATAATTGTAATTTTTAAATTTTGTTTGGTAAAAAAGTTAAAAATTATTTTATTAAATCCAAAACTACCAATTTATATTTACTAATATTCTTATACTTTTTATTTTTATTTAGAATTTTCATATCTACTCCAAAGTGTAAAATTAAATAATTATACACCAAATCTATTAACTGTCTGGTGTTAATGTGTCCGTTTATGTAGACAGAAAATAAAGATATTTGTTCAACCATTTTTGCTTTGTCAAAAATGTGTATGTGTTATATTGGTGTAAAACTGGATGTACATAATGGTTTAAGTTTACCCTACTTTTATAGCACCCCCAAATTAGTTGTGTTGAAAAAAGCATCCATTTTTTTAGTTGATTGGTGTTTAACGTAAATAAAGCGGAGAATGTTCAACGGTACATAATGATATGTTAAAACAATAACTTGGAAAACCTAGAGGCAGCCTACAGATTTTACATAAAAACCCATTACTTTCTATACTGAAGTATATATCACATCTATATGGACCAGCTGTAGCCGTGTGTATTTTAGTCAAAGAGAATGTTGTTGACTTGGTTAAATAAAAAAGTTTGTGTTAAAAAAGAAAACGAAACTTAACACCTATTTTCTTTTTTCTTTCTGAAAATGCTACAACTTTAACACGGAAATAGAATGTCTAGGCCTACTTTACGGTATTTGGTATTTCATATATAACAAAATTCAAAGTTTAAACCTTAAAATCTCTATTAAAAGTTTACTTTATAAAAATCAGTTCTGTTGCGTTAATTTTTTAAATATTGAGTCCTTTGTTTCGTCAGTTTTTAATAATTTAACTTTCTTTAATGCTTACTCACTGAAATTAACTAGAATTTGGAAAATTGCCATTAAATGAATACTTTAAATTTACAAACAATCGTCCAATCAACAAACACTTCATCGTCCAATTAGTACTAATCACTTCTTTACAATAAAATTGTGTATAGAGTATTTTTTTTCTTTTTGGTGTTAAATTATATATGAGACAGATAAATTAAATTCTTTATATCCCTGGACAAGTGAAGTAAAGGTTGCGTAGAGAATGCTTCGATCACTGTATGAGCTGATGTTTAGACGAGGGATCGGATAATCGGTAGCATCAGCTGTATTAGCTTTCTGCTGTGCTTAATGTACCATCGTAGGTAGGAATAGCTTATTATTAGGTTAGGTTTCTAAAATATTTAAAAACAGACTGTATTAGCACTTAGTAATTTTGTTCCCGCGGATGTATTTGCATGTCAGTTAAGTTATCTACCAACAAAAATTTAAGGAGATCATTATTAGCGATGATAGTTCCTTGACGGATCTTAGTTGTATTTACCTTACCAAAATATGAAAACTAAGTGACTAATATGCTAATCTAGGCTATGTTTTATATTCTGTATCATATATTATACCAATTTAGTACTTTTTACTTTTGTGCAATGTATCCTTTAAAGCCTGAGGGATAAGGATTTAAATGATATTTTTTCTGTTTCACAATATTTCAAATTGTACCCCCTTTTTTCATACAATGTTTATGTTATACAAAATACTAAGCATCATCTCAATGGTAAAATTTGACAAACCGTGTAATTGAAAATTGAATGAGAGATTTATCTCAACAATATTCTTATAGAAATGGTTGTACCAAATTTGAATAGCAATGATATTGAAAGATTTGATAGGTCAGAAGTACTAGAACACTGCCCCAACCCTGTAATCTATGCTCAATAATGTGTTCAGAGGTGCTAGATGTCAAAACACTTGTGGCTGCTACTCTACTACTCAATTATATTACTTGGTCTACTTGTTAAAAATAATCAGTTCACTAGAAATATACTCCACTCATTAAATCCAACAGATGGTAAAAGTAAATGTCAGAATTCGAAGAATTAAAAAATTCAATTTGATTTCATCTAAATACTTAATTTACACTTAAAAAATGTTTCATTGCAAAAAATGTGGATTCTTTCTAGAAGCTGAACAAATTTATTTCAAGTTTGAAACTAATTTTTAGGATCAGATTTTTTATTTAATTTAAAATATATGCAAAACCCTTTTATACAAATCAAATTAATAAAAGACAAAAGAGTCGCAGCTGCTGGTGTCTCATTCAGTTCCCCACACAAGTTGTCAGCAGTAGAAATCCATTAACTGGACTGAAGTTGTCTAACACTGTATTTATGGACTCAATATTAATCCCATATTGCATGATGAATATACTGTAACATAAACATTTGGTAAACCACTTTCTTTGACTTGTGTTACTGATTATTATAAGTATATATTGTAATGTAAGACTGAGATCATGATTGTATATCAATACATAGATGTTACATTGTACCATACATTTGTGAATACAGAAGTTTGTTGTATTTTGTAACCACCTGTTGTTATTTGAACCCTTTTGCTTATCACCTGTTATTTTGATTAGTGCAGTTTATTTGGCAATAAAGCTGTGTTTACACGAGGCCAGGTTACACGCCTCAGGTAACTTGAAATACATTAGAGGCAAAGGCAAGTAACCTGTCTGCTCCAGGCCTCTGTAAATGCGGCCTAATTCTTCACAACATTTTATTGAGATCAAACGTAGCCAAGGTGGTCGGTGAAGATTGGTGTGGAGAATTTCCAGGTCATCTAATCTAAATGTTACGAATATCATTGTAACAAAATACTCGATATAGGCTAACCATTTTTTAAGAGCTGTTTAGTCTCCGGATTACTGTATTATACTTAAAATGGTTTACAATACCTGCATATCATAACTCTTGGTTGCTGTAGTGGCAACTAGTTTCAGTCCTTACTTTGAACCATCACCAGGCCTACATGGTGTCAAGTAGTCACTTAATTTGGAGGTCATCAACAGAGTTCAATAAATAACACACATAAGACACGGGAACATAAAACGGACATACTGTTTACATGAAACACGAAACAAACTAAGGTCATTGACAAAAGTGATTGTGATCGGGCTGAAGTAAAGTTTGTTTTTGTTGAGTTTCACTTGCAATAGATAGAGGTAAACTTGTAGGTGGAAATTTGGTTGTATCTGTCATACGACCAATATATTGAACGTTGAAGCTCAAAGGTTGAAGGTGGCTGGAATGGAAACTGAATAAGATTGCAGGTTAAAAAATGATACCAATGTATATGAATTACTGAAATATTTAATAATCATATTTCTTTATACATCCTTTACAATTTTCCAAATTATTAAGTCTGTAGGAAAGTATATTTCATGAATCAAGGCAACCAAAGCCTATTGATTGAAATACATAAATATGTACAATAGTCCCCCAGGGGCATTCATCTAACAAATGGTATTGTACAAACAAGTAACAAAATAATCTAATGTCTAATATTCCCTTTGTAAACACAAATGTAAACAAATCTTTGGCATTGAAACATCACAAAAACATTAGGAAACCTACCATAGTTAGTTATTGAATGTATTTTTAATTTTTAACAATAAATTTAGCTCAAAAAGTCTCAGACAGTTGAAATGTTGAAATGATTAAGCACTGTAGTCATAAATTGCAGGGTATTCATTTGTATTTTGTTTGTTAGGCTTTCAATTATGTATTTTTATTTTTAAAAGACTACAAAGTACAAATATTAATTTCAGGTAGCTGAGTGGTTTTAGCCTGCCTAGCAATCTAAAATTCGCCGCCACTCCTGAGAAAAGCTTGGAAATTGAACGCAATTGTTCTTCATCAATTGGCTTTTGATGACACAAGTCATTTTACTCCATTCTGTAGTCAAATTTGGGTTATCTCAATTGATAATACGGTATTTTTTTGATGGTTCAAAACTGGACCCAGCTGTTCCTGATCATTGGGCTCTAAATAAATGATCCTGGCTAATGAAACAGCTGATCTTAGTCAGTAACAAAGCTACACAGATCATCTCATATTATTCATCACTCATCCTTCACACATAATATATGTGAAGGATGAGTGAAGAATAGTATTTTAATCCAAATATTATTTAGGTTAAAATATGCGCCTAGGTGGCGTCCCAATCTTAGTAATTGATAATTGGTAATATCAATATCATATTTTGCGAATAAAAACAGTACCAGTAGTTTTAAATGTTTCTACAAGTTGACAAAAACGTTACACAAATCATCTTTTTCACATGGTGTTCAGAATGTTGAGGTGTAGTTACATCACATTCAACATTAACTGTTTGAGACTTCTTGGTAACAAATGAACAAAGTAATATGAACTTATAAGCTGTAGATCACAGCTTGCAGCTGCACCAGGCGAGGAAAAGTCAAAGACAGAAGTGCACAAAGCAGATTATTGTACCGAGGTTCTTGGTCTCCGTCAGCTTCCTAATCTTGCGTTTACTCTATGTAAATATCTTCAATCGGATATGCAGTCTCAATAAACTTAGTATAAAACCTTTCAAAAGCCCTCCTGAAACCAAAATCAAATTAAAATTAGGGCAGAAATGTTTACATTACGAGAAACATTACCATAATTTGTTATTTTATTCATTTGACTGGGTATATAAATACTATGTCAAATAAATAACAAGTTGGAAAAGTTTTACCCAGTTTCACAACAAATGAAAGAATTTAGTATAATTGAGCCATTTACAGAGTAGGCAGCTATAAAATACTTTTTGAGATATTTCGTTTTGTTTTTTACCAAGATGCTTGGCAGCTTCTTTTAACCTAACATTTGCCCATTGAAACGTTTCCAGCAAAGCAAGGTGTGAGCCAGTACAATACAAGGGTGACTGTACTGATAAGAGTAGTGGCAGGTACCACTAGAAGAAAAAGCAGCATAGCACAATACTACAATCAGGTTGAATGACTTCTGCAATCGAACCAATGTCCTTGGACGGAAAGAAATCGTGAGTATCCTTTGCAATAAAGGGTAAACATCTTCAACGTCGAGTCCCATCATTCTCGTCTTCTGTAGTGACAAAATATTACATTTTCCATTTTTTTTTTAGTAAGAGTCAATTAATTTTTAAGTCGTTATATGACAGTTTGTATTTATTTTCTCTCCTTGAGGTTATTTTGAATTAGAGATCTCAAAAATATAACTTCTGATAGTTGTTGAAATTTTTTGTGATGTTTTCTAAAAAAAACTGCAACTTGTCTGAGACAAGTTTTCTATGTTGCAGTTAAATTTTTAATAGTAAAAAAGATAACTGCAAAAATTTATTTATGTAATAATTGAAAGGTTCTAAAAGAGTTCTTGTAGTTAAGACGATTATGTCACCCTATGAATTTCTCCAACTGTGTCTCTCTCCGCTGAGTAGTGTTAGTGATAAGTGATTAAGAAGGCACCTGAAGATGCCACAGAAGGTGGGGAAATGCATAGGGTGGCATAAATATTTTACCTACAAGACCTCAGGTAATACAATCATGTTCTTGAAACTGGGGAAAAATATTTAAGAGTTTGAAAAGGTGTAGCATTTGTATTGGGGCAGTATCTGACATAAGAAACACTACACTATCAAATAAAACGCGAAAATTTAACTTAATTATTGACACACTCAATTAATTATTAAGTTACTCCGGACTTTATTTTATGTTGTTAATGCATGTGGCACCCACTAACTGTTCTATTTTCAAAACACTCAGTCTTACCCTATAGACTCTGCAACAGGTCTCGTAGATTCACAGCCAAGAAACACGTGACAAGCAAACCTGTGAAGCTGAGGGTGCTTGGTGATGAAACCCAGGTACCTGTGATCTGTCGGATGAAACGCACAGAACGACACGTTCTTCAAGGAGTAGAAGTAATCGTGGCATGGAGCATTGGAACTCTGCAAACATTGAACCATTCAGATGGATGCACATTTTAATTAACACACATTGAGCGTTTCACAACAGTGAGATCAGGACTGTGAACAGGGTGGATCAGGATTGTGAAAAAGTGGCGGGGGAACTTCTCCACAAGCCACCTAAAAATTTTCTGAACAGACTTGAGTACTTTTTAAGCTAATACTGGTACAGTTTTATATATTTATAAGGATTCAAGTAAGAAACAGCTAGTTTCAAGAAAAGTACCTTTTTGCTCTTGTCAACCATCCGCAGCCCCTGATCCGACACCTCCAGTATGCAGGAGTGAGCCTTGTGTTTGGTCGACACAATCTTCTTGACAGCCTGACACAGTACAGAGTTGCCCTTGTGATTGAGAGTCTCCACTGAGCCGAGGTAGCCTAACAGAAACCTCTCTCTCTTCACCCGAGGAGCCTCCTCAAAGTCATTCAGCTCCATGTCCACTGCATAGGCTGACGGGAAGATACCCTGCTGGCCCGTCCTTAGGTTCACACCTGGAAAACAGGTAATAGGAAAATGTAGGAGGTAAAATGCACTTATGTTTGAGGACTATCTTTTTTGCAAATAATTATTTACCATCTTTATTGTTTTTTAGTCTGTAAAGTTCTGTAGTGGGAAAATCAAAAATTAAATTTTTGTAACAGACAGAGAACAATGGTATATTTGAAAAATGTTCTTATCTAAAATGTTTATTGATTGTTTTCTAGATATTTCCTGTTACATGACAGGAAGATTTAATCAAGATATCAAAGGGAAAATTATGTATCCATTTCACTTAATTCAAACTTTTTCTTCAACATTTAATAACTAAACCCACATTGTTTAATGAAAACACTGTATTAAATCTGAGTTTCCTCCTTTTCAATCAATTTCCCTTGTCACCTTCCCTCTTCTTTTTTCCCGTTATGAATTCTTCTATCTATACTATATTTCCCTTTTTTCCATCATCCTGTTACCTTGAATACTTATCTCTTTGTCAATGACCATCTAACCTGGATTGATTGTGCCAAACGGATTTTTTTCTGAATTATTATTTACAAACATTATGACAGATTAGGCAGTCGTGAATCTACTAATCTCAAAACATTCCTGGATTGATTACAACTAGGGTTTAATCTCGAGGCAGCCCTCAACTTCCTGCTTAAACATGTCATCAAGAACCTTGAACTTTGTGAGAGAACATTGTAGAGCCACAGACAAAGCCTCAGAATCACCTTTTGTGTTCGTTTAGCAACCCCCACTTTTTGTTCAACTTTTGCTGTTCCCCTTTTCTCCTAATAGTTCCGGTCTCCTTCATCCCTTTTCCTCACAACTTCTACACTTACCTTCACACCACAGGTCATCAGCTTCTTTCTGTACATAGATCGGGTCTCCTATTTCCACCTCCATTTCGTCCCGATGTCGTGGGATGAACTTGTGCAGTCCTCGATGAGTTGGCTCTAGTAACTCAAGCTGAGTATGTGTGAAAGGAAGTCCTGCTGAACTGTTGTGAGAAAAAGAAAGTATTTATTATGGATCCGTACAAATAGTGCTGTATTGTGTACAATACCAAAACACCACATAATTTTGAACTATGAAATTCATTGTCATTTTTAGCAGCATTTGGTGGGAATTGCAGTATTGCAGAATAAGAATTGGGTTTGATTCTACAAATGCATAGGTAGTTGCTGTAAAATAATGTTCGCCTTTTTGGTGTTTAGTGATGTAAAGATTGAAAATAATAAAAAATAGTATGCGTGAATTGCCTCAAAGTAAGAGGGATATTTAAAGAACTCTGATTTTTATCTTTCTGACAATACTTGCCCTATTTCCGATAACTACACAACCACTCGCCATTGCATTATGCTGCAGTGGTAAGATTGTTGACTGCTTTGAAAATGTTTATTTCTGTATTTTTGTTGTTTTACCTTATCTACTCAGTGTTTTTCCTCTTATACAGTACACTATGTTGCTAGGACTTTATTTTAATCAGTATGATTTGATTAGTCACAGATGGAACAAAAACCATATCTATTCTTATAGGAAGTATATCCTATAAAATATGTTACAATGGTGATCAATTTCGATCAGTCACTCTGGTCATCAGGCCCAATTGAAGACTCATTCAATACCTATAATAGCATCAACATGTCAAATTCTAATCAAGGAGTTTTTTCATTCACTTAACTCTGAAAATCGCTCTTCTCAAAATGGACCAAAAGACTGAACTGAGATTTTTTTCAAGGTTTCTTTTACACAGCAAGTGTAGATTGAGTAAACAGCTATGTAAACTTTGTGAATTGAGGCGTTGAGAGGCCAAGGGAGATATGTGACTTTTTAAAAAATGTTGTCATGGTAACGGGTTTTGTTAAAAAAGGGTGGAATTTCAACAAATAATTCACTTATATCCCCTGGCCTCCAAACTAAACACCTAAGAGTTGGAAGCCAAGGGGTATAAGTGAATTTATTTTTATTTTTATTTTATTTTTTATGACTATGAAAAAAATACAATGACATTTTTAAAAAGTCACATATCTCCCTTGGCCTCTCGACGCCTCAATTATGATCACCTGGAGGGGGAGCCGGGAGTGTCAGAGTCAGTTGGTGCGATGGTTGGCTGAGGAGATGTTGATTTGAGTCCATCCGGGCTGTGAGCCGTCGAGTGACCCGAGTCCACATCTGTACTTTGGAACCTGGAACAAGATTAAGGAACTTGTAAATGCAAGCAACTTAGTGATTAAATAAACCAAATTGTAGCTAAAACTTTGATAATTCGTCAAAATCTAAGTCCTTTCACAAAATGAAAAGAAAAAAGCTCAGTCACCACGCACATAATATTGGAAAAAGAATTAATCTTTTAGGCAGATTAAGATTTTGTGTAACTCAAAGAATGGTCTCGACTCTTGAACTCAAACTCCTTCATCTCATTCAGAATGGATTCACATATTGATTCATGGTTGATAAGGTATGAAAAGTGCCATAGTTCACAAGCTATCCTTTCAGTTTGACTTATTTAAAAAGCTGGTGAATTCAACAATAATCAGTAATTGACAACAGAAAACTATTATAGGCTCAGTTTCAACTGCATTGATTGATATTCAGAGTCTGGTTACAACTTTAACATGAGGATGGGAATGCCTAGTTTCATCACCTGTCAGAGTCGGGGCTGTCTGCGTCGCGCAAGTATCCGTGACACTTCAGCAGAAGCAGCGACCTCGGTGGGTTGACTGAGATCTGTAGTGACAACGCATCACCTAACTCTTCAGCTAGACTCAGCACTGATGCTGGCAAACCACATCAAACAATCAGCAACTTGGTTGAATAAATATAGAGCACTGTATCAGACATGCCATCTATATGGGCCAGATGTAGCTATTTTTAAAACAATCAAATAGAATAATTGTTAAAGTTAAATTTTCCCTCTTCCTTCTCCAAGTTCAGCTGATCCGTCAGCTGTTGTTAAGCGATCGACCTGCGGGATAAAAATAGTTTTCCCCTATCGTGAGGAGGCAGGACTTTTCGAGTTCCACGAAATGTCCGACTTTGGTTGACTATGGACGATTTGTGCGATGTATGTGTGTGATTGTTTATGGCGAGTCCATGACATAACTACTAGATAAAAAGGTGTAGTAAAGCCCCCAAACAATCTTCATAATAGAATGACCGCCTTAAAGCATGTCATTTGAAAACATAACGTTGAATAAATTTAGTGGTATTTCGTCCCACCCTGATGATTTCTTATTTTTGAAAGATTTATTAAAATTATTAAATCTTTCAAAAATAAGAAATCATCAGGGTGGGACGAAATACCACTAAATTTGGTCAAAAATGCTTCTAAATTCATTGCAGAACCACTCTCTATAATTATAAATCAATCATTCCTCAATAGTAGTTTTCCTGAACACTTAAAATATGCTGAACTAAAACCTCTTTTCAAAAATGGAGAGAGACAAAATCCAGACAATTATCGTCCAGTCTCACTTTTACCGACATTCTCTAAAGTTTTTGAAAAATGTGCTTCTTACCAAATATCTTCTTTTATGGAAACCCACAATACGGTATTTTGTCTAACAAACAGTTTGGGTTTAGAAAGGGTCGAAGCACCATGAGAGCGCTCTCAGACTTTGTTGAGGAGGTGTCATGGGCCTTGGATGAGTCGCATAGCACAATGGGGGTGTTTTGTGACTAATCCAAGGCGTTGACTGTGTCAATCATGATATCCTCATTAAAAAACTAGAGTCGTATCCCTTTTCTGGAAATTCAGTGTCATGGTTGAAATCTTACTTAAATAATCGCTATCAGAGAACAGTCATTTGTAAAAATAATTTAAAAGTAAAGTCAGAATGGCAAAAAATTAAAATAGGTGTGCCTCAAGGTTCGATTTTGGGGCCTCTTCTATTTCTTATATATATCAATGATCTTCCAAAAAATGTTTCAAATAATCTAATTCTGTATGCAGATGATACTACTGCAGTAGTTAAAACAAAAAACAATGAGGGATTAAAACATAAAATTGAAGAAAGCCTAACCGAATTGGGGAAGTGGTTTGAGATCAATGGATTGAAAATTAATGAAGAGAAAACCAAATTTGTAAGATTTTGTTCACCTCAATCAATGGCACACACTGATCAATCTCAACCAACTGATGATAATGTAAAATTTTTAGGTCTATATATTGATAAACACTTGACCTGGAGTAAGTGCATTCAGTCAGTAATTGGAAAATTAAATTCAGCCTGTTTTCAAATGTTATGCTTAAGAAATTCTATAGACCTGAAAACTTCTGTCATGCTCTATTATGCTTACTTTTATTCAATAGTACAGTATGAAATTGAATTTTGGGGGGTTCGCCTCTGAAATTGAAAAAGTTTTTAAAATTCAAAAAAAGTTTATAAGAATTATGACTTTTTTACCATGGAAATCTTCGTGCAAAACAGTTTTTAAAGAATTGAATATTATGACTGTTCCAAATTTGATTATTTACAAAACATTGTTAGCGGTGCATTCAAATTTTGATGACTACATTAGCGAAAACTTTGACCACATATATAACACTAGATTTAAAAATAATTTCCAATATCCGAGACACCGACTGAAGCTTGTAGAAAAAACACCTAAATACATGGAGAAAAAACTTTTTAATAAACTACCCTCAACTCTAAAAAATGTAATTAATAATAAATCTTTTAAAAGCAGCCTTGCTGATTTTCTGATTAGCAAGACGTATTACAGTGTTAATGATTACCTCAATGAAACTAACCAATCAATATGACTCTATTTTGTATGACATAGAAACTAATTTTTTTTTCTGTCATCGTTTAACAAATTTTGCCAACTTGTTTACAAACATTTTTTATGCATAAGACATATTGTTGTACATTAGGTTAAGTTAGTAATAATCTTGACAATGTCATCTGTTTTTTAGCTGTGCTATGATTTAAAACGTTGATGTGACAATAAAGAATTATTTATTTAATAGTTAAATGAGTCTTTCTCAGAGTGAACAGTGTGCTAGTTATTGTTACCATGATAGTGATAGTTAACCCAACTTAGTGCTGTAGATTACAAAGAGTTGTCTTTTCAGTTTGGCTTGGTAAAATGTAAAAAGTTGAAGAAATAAGTTGACATTACCAAAACTGGCTAAATCTATATAACATGAGATTGAAATGTATATAACCTTCATTAACCAGGCTAGTTATGGATCCAAAGTTGTTTAAAGAAAAATTAGGATTCCTATATATTTGTGAATATGTTTCTTTTTTAACAGAACTAAAAATAGCATCTAAAATTTCTTATTTTATTATTTTGTAACATAATCTATTCAGAAATCTGTCACTAATTGAATACTCAAGCGTTGTACATAATATAAAATGACAAAAGTATTCACATCTTTGCAATTGGTCTTTAAACAATGTACTATATTTGGATGTGTCTGGAGAACTGTTATGCAAGTGTTTCTATCATTACTTACATTTTTTGTTTTTTGGAATTTCAGGTAGTTTTCTCCGTTTTCGTTCGCCGCTGGGTCTCTCAGGCCAAGCAAGCCGTGTCTCTGGGACATGTCCACTGTCAGGTACGAACTGGGGCCTGAACATACATCAAGTTAGATAGCACAAATATAGCGCACATATTGGCAAAATGTACTTTTAAACGTCCCTAAGGACCTTCAGAAAGTATAATTTCTTCAAAATTTTAAGAACTTTAAGATTCTATGTTGAACCAAGGTGTGTTGATGTATTGATGGTGTAATAGTTAGTGTTACTTCAGTTTGAGATGAATGGGTTTGATCCATGTTGTATATCTATACACATTTTAAAGGTTTGACCCAATTTCCCATCAATTTGAGACTCTCATAAAAAGTACCAGTGATGTACTATCCAAGCCATATTGTTATGTGTCATTGTCTGTGTTATATTTTTGTACTAGATAACAGAACAAAAGCAAAAAAATTACATAACAGGATAGTGGAAGAGGAGAACTACAATCAAATTAAAATAAATTATAACTATGGTAAATTAAAATGTGTGATTTTATAAGGTGCTATTCAAAAGTATTTAGAGTGTATTCAACTTAAATGATACATAATTCATGTTCCTCGTAATGTTGTAATTTATGTGTGTTCATGTTCATGTTGTGTGTGCAGTTTGTGTAATGTGTGTAATTATTGTAATTTATGAAATATTACATTAATCTTTATATTAAAATCTTATTCAAAAACAGTTTATACAAAGGAGAACGTTTGGACTGGATTAAGTTTTTCACCTGGAGACTTCACTGGTGGAGTAATCATCCTCTGAGGCAGGTTTGACAGGTCGGAGGTCAACTCCTAGAGGTTCTGCCACAGCCTCCCCTGGGCTGGTCTGAGGTGAAGGAGATTCTTCCTCCACCATCACATCATGGACCAGCCTGTGGAGAGCAGTATTACCTTAATTCAGACTATATGGTCTGTCTCTTCTATACATTTTAGCGAATTTCCCATACAGGGAATAAGCTATTACCGTAGGTATCATGGTAAGATTTAGACCTGGGACCAATTTACTTTTTCATTTTGAGTAAGTATCCTTTTGAGATAAAATTTGCTTTATCAATTGGATTCTTGTTATTTTGCCAGATTTTTCTCAACCTTCTTTTTTCCTCAATTTTCTGTTAAACGAAAATAAAAGACAGTAGTTGATGTTCTCGCAGAATTTTGAATACAAGTTGTAAATAAGCCAACTGCGTCTTCTAAATTTTGATTGCTTTGTAATTGAATTTTTAATTTAAATTGTTGTATATTTCTTGACGAAAAAGGTCCCAAGTTTTTAACCAAAGTATCAAAGTATTTAACCAAGTTTTCCTCTCTTTTCACTAAAACTCTAAATATCTCAAAGAAACCTCAAGATTTACAAAGAAGAAAATAGTTCAAGGTAAAATCTCTTCCTTAACAATCATTTGCCTACTAATCAAGCTGATGCTAAATTGTATTCTAACTGCTCTGATTCTCTCCTCTAATCTTTCACTTGGTTTACACAATATCACAACTTTGGTTCAAATACGATTTTTCTCTTAGTTTTTTTTTTTTTTACTACAGGTTATCCTTGTTATCCTTGCTATTTTTGTAAGAGTAAACACGTTTTTTATCTATTTCTATAACTGTAATATTTTTAAGCCTAGGTTTATAGGTGACTGAAGACTGAAACAGTAACTCCAATATTTTCAGCTCAAATGTAATATAAAACATTGCATCATCAAAATATGTTGTCTGTAAATTGAATTATAACATAAAGTTTAGCCAATTACTATCTATTTCAATGGTAGCCTTTTATTCTTTTGTTTTCATTACTTGCAAAGTACTTAATTATTCTGGTCTGGTACGTTTGTTATGAATTAATAATAGTTATTATTGAATTAAAATAAATTATTTATGTAGTTAATATTTTTCTATGAATGTAACAACATCCATAAATAAAAAAACAACAACAATACAATTCAATCTTGTAATATCTTTTACAAATAATATATCCACATACAATATATTATAGCAATGTATAGATGTACTCTGACACCAATGAACTTATTTCACGGCAAAAGATGTATGAAGAAATCGTTTTCATACCGAGGTCACAAGTAATGTAGTTGCACTGTTAATTAACATACTGTTAATTGTTAATGGCAAATTATTCTTACAAAAAGTTGTGCAACAATACAATAAATGCTTGTTTGTTGCAATAATAAGATATTTTATATAACGAAATAATCCAAGAATGTCAAGTTAAACCTAAAATAAACACCTATTTTTAATTGTTTAATTAAGGAGCCTAAATAAGTAAAAGTTATTTATGGAGCAATCTATTTACCTTTATAATATCAATTTTACCAACTCCATTCATCAATAGGCTAGCATATTTTTATACCTTTTGTGTTAAGTTTACACCTTTAATTCCATATTTTAAACATTATCTAACGACAAAATTTGTTCATTTTTAACGGCAACAAAATCGTTTAGGACCTACTATGTCATATCGTTGTAATATTTTTATAATAATTTTTGCTTTAAAGACAATAAAGAAAGTACAATTAAATTCCTTAGCACAGTACACTATAAGTGAGATATAGGCAAATAATGCAGATAAGGTTCAATAATGAATGAGTTGCTAAATTTAGCTAAAACGTACAGAGAAAATGTCTCAAAATACAGACTACCGGTAGGGCATTTATTTGACTGTACAAATATCCTTGAAAGCGTCAGCTAGGTATATTTTCAAAAATTAATTTTCACAAGTGTACTAGAGGAAATCAATTTTAGGGCTTACCCATTTGAAAATATCAATGACCGTGGCAATGGGTCGAGCCTTACACACTACACAGTCTCCCAAGGTCAAACCCGGGACTGTCAGATATTACAAATGCGTAGCGAAATAGTTATTAAATTGACAAGAACTTACGTGTATGTTTGGGCGGGCGCCTTTAGATGTTGGGGAAGTGGTTCAAAACAATTTCTGAACTCCTCGAACTCCGAGTCGGCCATTTTGCCGATGTGGCGCCGTCGACCGCGTCGTTGTGCGCGAATATATTGATTGTTGCCCAGACTCTGAGGATTCTTCAATCTTCACTTCGGTCTTCATTCTTCACTTTTGTCCCTGTGTTTACCTCAAGTTTATGTAAAGTAGGTCATCAATGAAGCTGACATTTAGCTCACATTCTTGTGTGATTTATTGTTTGACATTCGGTTTTGGCAAGTGTATTAGATTTGTGATGGGAGTTTTCGTTGAATATTTTACATTTAATCGTTCTAAATTCTTTAAAAAATTTGTAGTAACTTATTGTTTTACTATCGTGGCCTGGAACGAAGGATATTTGTTTAGTAATGAAATAATTTTTGTTGGTATTTTTTACCGACATCGGAATCGAGTTCTAAAAATCAAATGATGCAATCGTGCATTTAGTTTTCCCAAACAATGTGTAGGGAATAATTTCTATATGCATTAGCCTATGGCACAAAACACACTTTTCTCAAGTTGCTGTAATAGCTCTTTACTAATTTTACCCGTACTTCCCAACTGCACAAACAGTTACACTCTTACATTGATGACGTAAACAAATCAATGCCGCATACTTTTTTCTTCTTTTCGGTTTAATTTAACCAAACTCGTCAGATTGAACCAAACAGAATAATGTACTGGTGTGTAGTAGAATCGTAATTCGTTTCCAAAATAATGTAAACATGGAAAATAGTCTTAAAGTAAAAATTATGTTTTTACTTTGCAAACTTTTTGGGCGTCCAAGTTGAGTATTTCGAGGGGTTTTTCAGAACATGACTAGGCCTAAGCCTAAATGTTGTATTTAGCCTGGTTTACGATCTATCTTTGTGGAGTGACTGGAGTGTGTTATATTTCATCCCAATCTGTTCAGCAGTTTGTTGCATTCGCTCGAACGAAAACACGGACAAAGCAACAATCATCTCTCTATTGTATAATACTTGTATTCGATATTGTATTTACAAAAAAAAATGTAAATAATTGAATATAATACTAAGATTAAATTGTAAACATATCCTATCCCTTCCACTTCAATCATTCAAACTAAAGCAACTTGTCAATTGCTTTAGTTGAATTTTTAAGCAGATTCATGACGAAAGGAAATTTACGCTAACTTGTTTGGTCATAAGATGGATAAGACTGTTTACTGAATAAGTTGCAGACAAGGATTGTAGGGCTTGTAAATAAAACGTTCTTCAAAAGAGAAAATGTTGCTGTTTTATTTTTATCTAATATGAGTATGTGCAGCTTTGTTATTTACATATTGTGATTAAAGTGTTAATCAATTAATTGCCTCTTCAGCCAGGATCAAAATTCAAAATCCTATCAAGTACCTCTTGATTTTTTTTACGATTACATTGGTAAACAACAATTGAGAGACAATTTTGTGTCTCAAATTTCCTGGTATACATCACTCATCTTTAATTTTTTTTTCGGTTTGAAATACGCCTTAGAAAATGTACTATCTCCTATATCTGTCAGTGATGCAATATGTTTCCCAAACAGATCACTTAAACAGTAAATGAATTCAGATTTTTAAAATTAACCAAATTTCCCAAATTTTAGAAATTGCATTTTACGTGACCAAAATAAAAATGGATTCTAATTCAAATAAGAACTGCAAAACACAATTATTGTTCTTGTATTATTGTGTTGTGCTGTTGTACCATTTCGGTTAGGCTAACTAAATCCACCTTCAAAGGCTGTGGAAAAATTTTAAACAGATAACTTAATATGCGACCCACTTATAAAACAATCTATACTATTATAACATTAAGGGGGTGTCTGCCTGTCTGTCTGTGCGGTTCTCACGACTAAAATTCTAAAACGATACACCCAAAATTAAGCACAAAGATGGTCTGCATATCTAGGAATGTCTTAGGACTATTCACTTCCCTGAGTTCCTCTCGGGCTACGCCCCTTGGATGTCCAAAATGTTGCGGTGTCGAGGTATTTAAAAGTAAGTATTAATTGGTATCCGTGGAAGCATGAGAAAATTCACAATGTTTACCTTTGCATTGGCATTCAATGTAAACAATCAGAACTGGCATATGCTTATTTCACAGTTTCAGACAGCTGATCCAAAGAAATTAATATTATATTTTATACAACTATGGGGTAGGATTTTTATTATAGTTGCGGCAGTGTCTAGGATTCGAACCCACGACATCGCTGCCTTGGGACCGAAGTCAGTGACGCTACCTACTAAGCCACCAACTCACACCACTCATTTAACCTAAAACTTTATCATAGATTATTTATTCTAAATCTATGTCAATGATTATAAAACAGATTTTTCTTCCCGTTGCGAAGCACGGGTACATCATCTAATTATAAATTTATTAATATTATCAATTACACTGAGAAACTCACAACTGAAGATAGCAAGGATGATGTTTTTGAAAATGCAATGTTTAGTCCAAAACACTATCGTTTGAAAAATTTTATATTATTTAGAACTGAAGTTTAGGCCTATTATTCAAAAGAGACTTTTCTGGATCGAATGTTGAAAACTACTTAATCAATTCCACTCACGGCCTATTTCCGTATTTAATTTTGTTGAAGGATGCCCCTTCACATAAATATATTTCATACAACTCAATTAGCTCTCTTTACAATACTACTAAATTGGTACAATTTATTTTTATTGGTTCTCCTATTCACGAGTTTTTAAACATAGCTATAATTCGTAGACCTTTTTTTATTCTGCAGCTAAAAGTTAAATAATGAAACTATATGTCATAAAATATGTTTAAGTTTTTTAATTGCAGAAAAGTAGGGGTGTGTGGTAGTTCAGTGCTATTATAATTTATGTAGACTACTATTTGGGTCAGGCTCAAAATAAACAATCTCGATACCTAGTATTTACAAAAGATAGTAATGTTTGAAGAATCTGTTATAATAGCTAACATCTTTATTCACAAAGTCTTTGTACAAATTTTTTACATTAATAGTCAAAGGGCCCGAATGGTCATTCACTAGTGCACTCGCCCTACTATTTTTTTTACTTTGCACGTTCTGTAATTCGTGAATCAATTGGTAAGTTTGCATTATTGATGGAAAAAATAAATGTACACCACAAAAATATTATTTAAAAAAAGTTTATTTACATCACGATGAAATGTATTTACAAAACTTACTCTACACCTACTCATTCTGGCTGAGTGGCTCCTCTTGCCCAAAATATTACAAGTAAGAGGAACGACTTCTAAATAAACATAATAAACTGCATTTTGTTATGTTGAAAGCTAGAGATATATGTTGCATCACAACTCGATGAATACAGAAACTACTATGTTCAGTTGTATGCACAAGCTGTCTGTCACATGTACTATGTATTCCTTATAAAAGTAGATAAATTAACAAAAGCGGTTGGCCCGCTTGAACAAAAGGATGTTTACTGTAGATAAAAGTACCAGATGACAAAAATAGGTGAATGACAACAAGAGAAACATTACAACACTGTGTCATCAGATCATGATGGCACTTGGTCACCAAAACTGCTCAATACTTTGAGAGGGCTTTTCTGACAACCCAAAGCATGATGAGTGCCATGTAGAATTACTGAGACTCCCTTGAGCATGTATGATAGTGGTGGTCGCTGTTTCGGATCGAGAGCTTTCAGGCAATATTTGCACTTTTTGATCTTTATGGTCCAATTGATGAATTTCTTGGCTTACACCTGAAACAAAAGTAACAGTTTTAAGTGAATACGAATATTTGAGAGACACAATTTAATCTTATTGTTTTTACTGGTAAAAGGTGTAAGTTTACCACTATATTGGCATAGCCTCCTCCGGCCATGGTATTTAGATTCAGACTCCTTCATAGATTTATCGTCATTAAAGAGAAGCTGTAGACAATTTTAAGGTTTGTTTATTTTTATAACACTTAATTTTAATTGTATTGGATTCTCTTTATTGAAAAAGTTTTAATATTATATTACGTTATTCGTCCTGAAAGTAGGTGTTTACTGGACGAGTGTGTTCGTTCCTGTGCGAGACGAAGTTGAGTGCAGGATTGCCATACGAGTCCGATAAATACATTTTGGACAAGTGACGTACGATATTTACTCCAAACATAAATAATACTAAGCTAACTTAACAAATCTTCAAATATTCCCACCGACTAAAGGAATTACAACCACTACCGTTACTCCATAGCCTCTTTTATGTTTTTGTTATAACCACTCATTACCAAATATAATCAGCTGATTGGTGTCCGGTAAAAACTCATTACAGTACATTAGTACGTAATGAAATCCCATTGGATTAAGCTGTCGGCAAACAGCTGTTTTCTGGACTAAATCTTTGTGTGGGAAGTTCGTTAAAACAGTGTACTGTGGTGTAAGCATTTTTTTGCAAGTCTGTTAATAACGAAGAGCAGCTGATATAGCCGAAATCATTATTTAAAAGTCCTATGATCAAGAACACTGCTGGATTCATTTGATATTACATTTAAGAGCTGGGTTTCAAACTTGTTTGGATGGCTTCAATTCTTTTATTTAGAGATACTTTACCACATTAATTGTGAACTGGCAGGAGGCAATGTTCCCTGAAGAGTCAGTCGCAATGTAGTTTATTGCATGTAAACCTCTTGAGAAGACTGTGCCTGGCCTCTAAAAAAATTAAAACATACTTTGTAGACTGATAATAAATACACCTAGTGTATTGTCATGTATACAATGTTGGATTGTTTTCAAGTACCTATATGCCTATATGATATCACAAAGAGCAATACATAATGTCATCTTATAGTTATACATTATCGATCAACTTCACTGCTAAAAACAAATTGGTGTTATTGATTCTATCTGTACATCTTGTAAATAATTTACAAAAAACAATTTTACTCTAAAGTTACTCAAAAGATCTTGTATTTTGAATAAAAAATCCCACAAATTAAGTAGAAAATTTAGAATAAAAGTATAGAGTGTTTATAATAAAGAGCAATAGCAATACCTGAGATTTGTAGAGGTAAGCAACTTTGACATTATCTGTTACATCTGGTTCCCTCCAGGCTGCCAATGTTGAGTTTTGACCTTCCAGAACAAAGATTTTCATATCTTCCGGACAACTGTGTATTGTAGGTTTCTCCACATCTAATGAAACAGTAATTTAAAGTTAATTTAAAATTCAAAGAGTGAATATGCTTATTTTGAATCAATTCAATAAAATTATACAACAAATCAGAAATCTATTTGTTTTTTTCAGACTTCAGTAACAGTCAACATTTTGATACAAAATTATTTTGCTGTAACATTTAAACCTTTGTGGTTTAGGGCATTTTTATTAAGCTGTAGACAGATATATTACTGCATTAAATTATCAATAATTATTATCAATCATCGAGAGGGGACGTCATAGGTGTGTATTCTACCCCAAATATGAGTGAATAATGAGTGTAGTAAGGTAAGATGATCTGTGTGGATTTTTTACTGACTATGATCAGATGTTTCATTAGCCAGAATCATTTATTTAAAGCCCAATGATCAGGAATAGCTGGGTCCAGTTTCGAACCATCAAAAAAGCTACTGAATTTTCTCAGGATTGAACCAGTGACCTTTTTGATTGTTTGTCAAGCACTATAACCACTCATTTACCCAGCCAGTTTATTTAATAACAATAGTTTATTGATAATCATTGTTAGAGGCTCAAATTTGCCCATGTTAAACAACTAATTTAAAAACAAAACAAACAAATTTTATTTGGCAAGTCTACAACTCTTCTTGAATTAATTATAAGCTTGGGTTCAATTACGTAACTCATTCATAAAAATTCTGTCTTACTGCTTTCCTTAAGATTTCCATTACTAAATTGAGACAGGACTTACTGCACACACTACACCCTCTGTGGGAAATACATTTGTAAACGAATGTATTAAATACATTATATGTTTACTATAATTTATTGTTTTCCTAAATCAAATTACAGTACATCCGATGCTAGTATACGCATTGTTAGTATTCATTATTCATTTTGAAGGTTTCTTTTGGCTGCTGTCTATGAAAGTATTACAATATATTAATTAACTGTCTTTAAATTATCAAACAGCTCTTACCCTTAACTTGGATGGAAGTTGTACATTTTGCCACATAGTTTGACGAAGGACTAACAGCAAAGAACTGCACCGAGACTGTACCAACTGAAAGAACTTGTTGTAAATTCTTTCCCCATGGTGGTTTAGAAGTTACATGTCTGAAAATTTTAAGTAAAACACATAATTATGGTTCTGTTGAAGAATAAAGCATAGTATTGTTCTGTAGCAACTCTAATTTTCTCCCAATTTTTAACAAAGTACATAATCATATTTTTGCGCTGATGTAGATGAGGAACGGAAATAAATAAGTAAGCTTATGCTACGAGATTAACTCCGTGCCACAATTCATTTAGTAAAACAGTTTAAAGCAACAATCAAAAAGTCATACAAAAAGATTAGTGGTGGGATGAATTCCTCACAATGTTTTTTGAAATGTTGGCAAAGATGTTTTCTTAAACGTTCACTGATTTAAAAATCTCTTTTAACATTCCAAAACATTGCCAATGGGAAATTTGTTACTACAATTTTTTTTTTATTGGAACCCAGAAAAAATAGAAAAGAGGCAGTAAGAAATTCATCTGTAGAAAAATATAAAGTTCAGCAATTTTCTTAACATTTATAACACAATCTAATTACGTAAATGGTCGACTGATGCATGCTGTTTGACTAGTCTAGCCTTTCTCGTTGTTAGACAATATTATTGCTTATACTCTCTCTCTAGAGATATACACCATGGTAAACATTATGACTAGTACTGGAACTAATTTTCTTGAAGTGCTTGAAGAACTCACATAACTAAGAAGTTATAATATAAACTGTTGTGTAAAACATAGGAAAAAGGAGTCGAGTATTTTTTTTTTTATTCATTATAATAACATTTAAAAACTATACACGTTCAGTTTTATATTGATTGTAAATGCTCATAGACACTTTGTTAACTTAAGACTTTGAGACAAAAGTGATTTTAGGATGTGTATATACAATTATTTACTTTTCCCAGTCCATATTTGTTGTTGGCTGCTGAATGTTCACAATTGTGCTGTTTCTTCCTTGAGGCAAATTCAGTCTTATCGTAGGAGGACATTTTATGTAAGGTCGAATTTGTGCTGAAACAATTAAAATTTACCAACTGAAATTGTATAATAGGTCAAACAGTTTTACATCATGAATAAATTATCATAGAAGTGGTCATAATAATTGTTGGGTAGGAATGAATTATTCAAAAATTCTAAGAGCAAAACTATATAATTAAAATATCTAACTGTTTCTGTTTTATTTCTTTGTGGGTAGAATTTTAAATCTAAAACTTTTAGAACGTCCGATAAGTTTAGTAGATAGTTTTTATTTTAGCGAATTTCCCATATAGGGAATAAGCTATTACCGTAGGTCTCATAGTAAGACCTAGACCCGGGACCGATTTACTTTTTCGTTTTGAGGTCCCCAGAGGCCAAAATCACCATCCGTTCAAATTCATCTAATATATAAAATTCTCGTGTCACAGTGTTTGTCTGCAAACTCCTCCGGAACGACTTCACCGATCGTTATGAAATTTGGTGTGTAAATTCTGTAGGTATGCGAATCGGACGTAAACTATTTCCCGTTTCGAAATTCTTAAAAGGGCTCCGCCCCAGTGGCTCTGGAGTTTCCCATGTTAACCTTATGAGAAATGGAATTAATGAATCTTAACAGCTGTTTCAATTAAACAAGTTGGTTCTGTTCTATGATGTTCAATAGCATTAAAGTTACAAGGATTACCAACAGGGTGCAGCACTATTATTTCTTTTACATTTATGACAACAGCTAATTTGCAACCAAAAGGTGAGTGAGCGTAGCGAACGAACTTCAACCTGGAGGCGAGTTAGCGTAGCGAACGAGCTAACCTGAAGGCAAGTGAGCGCAGCGAACGAGCTCCAACCTAAAGGTGAGTGAGCGTAGCAAACGAGCTCCAACCCAAAGGTGAGTGAGCGTAGCGAACGAACTTCAACCAGGACGTGATTGAGCGATGAGAACGAGATCATCTTGAAAATTAAACGTAACGGTACTTTCTTTCCATCGGTCTGTCTTAGGGGAAACCTATAACTTAGGCGATACGAAGTTCGCCGGGTCAGCTAGTATATATATCTATATATGTATGTATATATATGTATATATATATATATGTATGTATATATATGTATATATATATATGTATGTATATATATGTATATATATATGTATATATATATATGTCCGTTAGCGCGATAACTCGAGCAAAATTGATCCGATTTTGATGAAATTTGGTACAAACGTGTAAACCTACATTTATTCGAACGAGTTCGCGAACCAGCATAATCGGACCATGGGATCAGGGGCTTATGGGGGGTTTTATGGGGTAAAAATGGGTTTTTCTAATTTTTGACCCTAAAAACTTTAAATTTCTAAATTTCTCTCTAGACCATTTTGAAGAGCTTAAAAAAACAAATAATTTAGTATATTGAAGTTTTTTTGAATGTTCATTGACTACGGAGAAAATTAAAAAATTTAAAATTTAAAATTCCCATGTTATTCTTATGGAGAATAAATAAACTGTTCTAGTTTGTTTGTATATGGATATATTTTAATCAAATTTGGCAATTTGGCTTATTTCATACTAAGCTATCAATATTTCAATTGAAAAAACACACCTCAACATCTTCTTCGCAAAAAACAGGTCGACAACAGACGCAATTTATCACCTTGTATCGACTGTGGTCAGCGCACTGGATAGAGGTGAGAAAGCTTTGGGATTCTTCTTCGACCTGACCAAAGCATTCGACACAGTGGATCATGACCTTCTCAAGCAGAAGTTACACTCTTATGGAATTAGAGGGCTGTCACTACAATGGATCTCGTCTTACCTTGCCAACCGAAGTCAATATGTGGAGGTGAAAGCAGTGGATAGCACTGGGTGTCTACGCCCTCACAGATCCTCAAAAAAAAAAAAAAAATCAAGTACTGGCACGATCGTCAGTGGAGTGCCTCAGGGGTCGGTTCTTGGTCCGGTACTGTTCCTCCTCTTTATTAACGACCTCCCATCAGTTGTTCAAAAGGGTGAAATATGTCTTTTTGCTGACGACACCTCTCTCGCTGTCTCCAGCCCAAACCAACTCGAACTAGACATGTATGCCTTTATACAAGCCAGTTGCTTGTTGCAGTGGTTCGACGAAAATCTCCTCAAAATCAATCCAACAAAAACTCAGCTCGTTGAATTCTCAATTAGGAAAACCAAAAACAAACAAAATTTTATTTTGGACGACACTGAAACTGAAACCACTGCTCAAGTAAAATTCCTGGGTTTGTTGTTGGACGAGAACTTGTGTTTCAAACCCCACATTGATTCTGTCTGTAGAAAGATCAGTTCAGAAATTTTTCTTCTGCGCCAACTAGCAAAATTTTCAAACAAAGATGTACTTCTTACTGCTTACTACGGTGTACTTTATCCACACATGATATATGCAGTTGCACTATGGGGAGGTGAAAGCACAAGAACCCATTTCCTTTTTCGCCTTCAAAGGAGAGCTATCAGAATAATTCACGGCCTTCCCTACAAACAAACTTGTAGAGCTGTATTTAAATCATCCGCAATTCTAACTTTTCCCTGTATTTACATTTTAGAAGTCCTCACTTTTCTGAAGTCAAATTATTCTCATTTCCACACCACAACCACCCACTCATATCTGCTTCGCAATACTTTCAATCTGAGAATTCCAGCCCATTCAACCACATTCTTTGAAAGACATCTAAACTATAATGCCATCAAACTGTTCAATGCTCTCCCACTTCAAATCAAGTCCACATCAGATCCGGGATGCTTCAAAAGGCACTTGAGGTAATTTCTCGTGGGTAAAGGCTACTACAGTGTCCGCGCCTTTCTCGCTGACGGACAGTCCTAATGAATTTTAATTATTTTAAAAGTTAGTTAATAGTTATTTTTAGTAAATTTGACTTGGCTAATGCATTTGTAATGTTAATCTAGCTAAATAAATGAGTTATTCAAGTTATTCGAGTTATTCTCCGTAGCAGCAAACCTAACTACTCACTAAAATTAATGTTATTTAAATAGGAAATAAATCTGAAAATTTATAGGGAATATTTTAGTAGAAATCAAGCCGGGTAAATGGAAATTCGCTAAGTATGCAGGTTTGCTGCGAAGGGGGTATTTTAGTATGTATGAGTATTTAGCCGACAAAACATATTTAAATACACAAGTGAATCATTTAAGAATATCAGACATATGATTTGCTCTGTTATGTAAAAAATTAGTCCAAATACGGTACAGCTAGTCAAGAGTTTCAATAATTTTTTATTAGATTTGTGTTTTTACAGTAGCGTTTCTCAGCTGAAAGTTCTGCATATAAATAGTAAATTGAGATGAATAAAACAAGACAAAACAACAACAAACAAGATAAAAGTAAAATAAGTTTAAATAAAGATAAAGATGAAGAACAAACCTATGCATTGAAAAGACCCTGACCAAGACCCATTGAGACAGGTTGTGACCCGTGGTCCATCAAGCTTGTAGCCGGGTCTACATCCGACCCGACATTCTGACCCGGCTGGGTAGTACAAGGTATCTTGCTTAGTAGTCAATCCGCAGTCAAGTTTCATAGGGCTCTTGTCAGGAAACATAGGAGCACACCCTAGAATGTAAAGACAGACTGATTATAGGTAGACAATCTAATTAGGAGCATCAACTTAAAACTCAATTCTTGGCGTGCTATGTAAGAGGATTGAATAATGTTTAGATTAAAATTAAATTAATATCATAATTAGTTAGGTTTGGTATTTTATTTTTTAACTGCAATCCCATCACTCAAGATTTCCCTTTAAAATTGGTAAGATAATCATCAAGAACAATTTATCAGATAGGTACAGTTAATTTCAAACCAAGATTTTATATCATAGTAATTATTGCTGTGTCCAAGTGTCCGCTGGTGTTCTTATTGCAGTTATGTTGCCATCCTAAAATAACCGTAAATGTAATCAAATAGACAATAAGTTATTGGAAAAGGAGTTAAATGAGCCAATAAACAGTTTCAAACCATTTCTATGTGCTACAACATAATGGGTAAAAAGTCTTGTACCTTACTTACCAAGTGCTTTCTCCTCAATTGTTGACGGACAAGTTATTGATTCACTCTCACTTAAATCACAACCAGCACTTTGATAGCAGTCAATCATCTGCACACATTTTGTTTTGTTTACAAGTACATATCCAGTTTCACAGCAACACCTGTTTTCTTTCTTTACGGTAAAATTTCCATGTTCACATTGCTCCTCTTCTACTTCATTTTCCTTTACACAAACAGAACCGTTGACCAGAACAAACCCAGGATTACACTCACATGAGAAACCGCCATCTAAGTTATTACAAATCTGGCTGCAGTTGGAAATGTTTAGAAAGCATTCATTTAAATCCACACAAGAAACACCATCAGAGGCCAAAGTGTATCCAGGTTTACACTCACATTTGAAACTTCCCTTGGAATTTTGGCAAATTTGTTCACAAATGTTATTGGCACATTCGTCAACGTCAATACATTCAGTTAACGTTTCAGACAATTTATAACTAGCATGACAACCACATTTGTAACTACCCTCTGTATTTATACAAATTTGATCACACACAGAAACATTGTTGGCACATTCATTCATATCGAGACATGTTTGAGAAGGTTCGATTTTTTCAAATCCCGTAAAACAGGTACAAGAGAAAGAACCCTCTGTGTTTTGACAAATTTGAGTACAATTTCCATTATTGTTGAGACATTCATTAATGTCAGTGCATTGTTGTGTGTCAATTTGATAGATGTATCCTTCTAAACATGAAAGTACATAAGGTTCACAGGTAACACTGTCATTGGTCAATGTAAATCCTTCTGGACATTCACATATTGGGTAACCATCGTTGTCAATGCAGATGTGAGAGCATCCTCCATTGTTTGTTTCACATGCATTGGCAGGCACACAAATATGATCATCCTTCAAGAAGTGGTTTTCCGGGCACTCACACTGGTAGCTACCCACAGAGTTAACACATTTATGTGAACACGTTGTGTCAATCTCATTGTTTTCTGAGCACTCATCAATGTCTGCACAAGTTCTCGAGTCCAGCCCCATGGTATATCCGAGTGGACATTCACAACGAAAGCTCCCCAATGTGTTGGTACATACGTGTGAGCATAAGCTAGCGCCTTCATCTACGGTAAAAGAACATTCATCGATGTCTTCACAGATAGATCCATTTGCTTCTCTAAACCCTGGAGGACAATTGCATGAGTAACTTCCCTCAGTATTGATACATGTTTTATTGGAAGAACAGATGTTTTCCTCTTGGCATTCGTCAATGTCCAAGCAAGATTTAAGATCACTGTCGAGGTAGTAACCGTCTCTGCAGTGACAGATGAAACTCTCTTCATTATTTGTGCACAATTGAGAACACAAATTTCCACCACTTTCACAGTTTCTAGTTTTCGTCTTAAAATATTCCGGGCAAGAACAAATTGAGTCTTCAATCCCTTCAAGATGGCACTGCTTTAAACAGTCTCCTCTACTACACGTTTTTTTGTCAGGCAATAATGAATACCCTGTAGGACAAGTGCAATAGAAGGCTCCCTCCTCATTTATACAATTGTGAGAACAATTAGCTGTATTTTCCTCACACTCGTCAATGTCAACACATGTGGTGTCATTTTCCAAAGTGTAACCTTCATCACAAACACATATTGCTTGGTCATCCTCAATAAGGCAATCATGAGAGCAGTTTTTTCTCTGGCATACGTCCTCTTTTGGGTGACAAGTTCTGTGGTCTGAGGCAAGTTCGTAGTCAGAAGGACATTGACAGCTGTAGCTTCCCAAAATGTTCTGGCAGATATGAGAACAAAGATGTCCTTCGGCAAACTCTGAACACTCATCAAGGTCAATGCAAGTGCTTCCATTATCGGCCAAGACAAATCCAATGGGACAAGAACACCTGAAGGAGCCTGGGGTGTTTATGCAAGTGTGGGAACAAGTGGATGTATTTTCCGTACACTCGTCAGTATCTGAAACAAAACATGGTCAATCACTGTGTGTTGAAATATAAATTTGAAACAAAGATCTATCTGATTTTAAAAGATTTAATTGGATTAATTTCACAGTGGTCCTAAGTTCTTAACAAATACTGTTAACAGTTCAACACATTTTTAGGATTACTTTTCTTAAAAAATCACCAAGCGATAACAAAATGATTTTCTTTCCAATTTAATACACTAGCCATAATACCATTTAATATGAAGACGAAACAGAGGTATAATGAATAAGTGTTAGAATAGAGTGAGGTGTGTTATGTTTCTTTTGTAAGGACCACTTAACAGCCCAATTATTATAAGGACGGCTGGGTCCAGTTTCAACCTACTGACTTTTATCATAGACAAAAAGAATTAAATGTTTTATCAAGATCAAACTCTAGTGACTTTGCTTATTACGCAAGAACTTCCACTCAGCTAATCAGATTTTCTATTTTGGAAACCAATCGGAAACAGTTTATCGTCATAGTTGTACCCAATAACCAAAAATTACCTTTACAAACACCATCAGTCATGACATAGCCAGCACTGCAAATATTTTGACTAGAGCATGTGAACGAGCCGATGGTATTAACACAGCCATGGTTGCAGGGAGCAATACCTCTCTCACATTCATTTATATCTGAAGAATAAAAAATATAATTAATAATATTCCTGCAGAGTTGGTACATTTAATGGATTATAAAGTAAATATACTGCAGCAAAAAGTAATAATAAATTAGCAGTAGTTTTATAGAACAGTATCATCACCTTTAACTGTAAACGAATTGTGCCTCTAATGAGATCTAAGGGTTTCTGTGGTGGCTTCCTGAGATTGATAGCTCCTCACCTCCACCCCAAAACCAGTCTAGTGGCTTCTTGCCCTCTGTTCATTTTGTATGTGTATGTTCCAGTATCTTTGGTGAGTGAGAACTATCATAACATTCTTTTGCCATATAACGATTTCTATGTAAAGAACATTAGCTGGATTTAAACAGTAAAACTTTGGAGGAAAATATAACAAACCAATAACAACAAAACTTTTCAATAAGGATCAAGAATGATCCCAAATATTCGCAGCCTATATGGTAAATTTTTAGAGACATGAGTCATCCCAGATAAATAATCAAAAAGTTCTAATAAATAAAGAACTCAAAACTCATTAAAAGTTACGTAGAACATTAATAACAGAGTATGTTTCATCACAAAATTACGACAAAATGCATATGTGTGTTTGAAGCTTGTATGGCTTTGTGTTGTTAACCGCTTTGGAATCTTAACTGTGGTTGACTAACCATGGCAAGTCTTCCAGTCTGTGCCCAGTTCATAGCCAGGCGGACACAAGCAGAAGGCTGATCCGCGTGTGTTGACACATGCATGAGAGCAGTTGAGACGATGGACTGGGTCGCTGCATTCGTTGATGTCCGCACAACTAACACCGTCTTCGGCCAGCTTTGAGCCAGGGAAACCCTCGCAGGAACATACAAAGCTACCGTCCACATTGTGACACTGTCCTTGGCACGGTCCATGGCCGTTACGAGAAAGACACTCGTTGATATCTAAAATTCAGAAAAGTATCTTTGAGAGTGTAGGTTTTCTATTGATTTTTGTGTTCTCATATCACTACGGTAAGCTGTAAAGCTAGTACATCAATTGATTATATCCTAAAAGATAGTTTGTCATTATTTACATTATCCTATATCTATATCTATAAAAGTTTACATTACAACAATGAGGTAGTTGAGTGCTTAAGATTAATACGAATGTAAAGCAATTGAGTGTAAAACAGAGTGAGATCGTCTATGTAGCTTTAAAGCAATAAAATTGTGACTGACTATGAACAGCCATTTCTTAATAACCATTTAACAAATTATCATCAAGGACAGTTTGGTCTAGTTTTGAGTCATTGGAAAAATAATTACTCTTCTCTGTGACTTAATGTCAGGCAAGCATTATGATCACACACATACAGCTAACCTGTCATCAGTGCCGGATTTACCACTAGGCCGATTAGGCCGCGGCCTAGGGCCGCAGAGCAAAAGGGGGCCGCAGAGGATTGGGAAAAAACATTTGTTTAGATAAAATAAAATAAAAAAAAATTAATTAAACCACCAGTTACCACGATCACAGGTGACCATAATGATGTCTCCGTGGACCGAGAGAGATGTTCACGATTATGCCGCGGCCGCGGGTGACGGGGATGTGTCCTTAATGATCGCAGCCCGCAGGAGACGTTCACGATTTAGCCGCGGCCGCGGGTGACGGGGATGTGTCCTTATGATCGCAGCCCGAAGGAGACGTTCACGATTTAGCCGCGGCCGCGGGTGACGGGGATGTGTCCTTATGATCGCAGCCCGAAGGAGACGTTCACGATTTAGATGCTGTATCGAGTTGTCAATGATGATGTCCCAGTGATTGCGGCCCGTGTGCGGGAGATGTTCACGATTTCGCCGCGGTCACAAGTGTCGATGATGATGTCCCCGTGATTGCGGTCCGCGGCAGATGTTCATGATTTCACCACGGCCGCGAGTGTTGATGATGATGTCCCCGTGATCGCGGTTCACGGGAGATGTTATTGATTTCGCCGCGGCTGGGGGTGTCAATGAGGACGTTCCCGTGATGGCTTCCCGAGTGGGATGTTTACGATTTCGGCACGGCCGCGGGTGACAATGATGAAGTCGTCATGATCGCAGTCCACGGGAGAGGTTTTTAACACGACTTTGCCACGATCGCAAGTTTCGATGATGATGTCCCCGTGATTGCGGCCCGTGGGAGATGTTCACGATTTTACTGCGGTCCCGGATAACTATGATGGCTTTGACTTGGCTTAGGAGAGATGTCCATGATTTCATCCAGGATCACGGGGGCCGATGATGATGTTCCCTTGATGTATAGGAGGTAGTCACTATTACTTCCGCGATCGCAAGGAATTTTCACCACAGGGGGAGGGCCGCTCAAGTAATTTGGCCTAGGGCCGCAAGTACCCCAAATCCGGCACTGCCTGTCATTTTTTTAGTTATGAAGTTCCTAAATAAACATTTTTCTGTTTTGGTAGTATTTCTTTTTTATTTAGAGCTATAGAATATAACAACTTACAGATGAAATTTTCCACAATCAAAATAGTACCAGAAAGACAAGCAATCCATAATTTTTTTACAGCAAACAGTGCTACCAACCAACACAGGAGGATCTGTCAGTAGCTAGCCTGTACCCTGGGGGACAGCCACAGTAGAATGAACCAGGAGTGTTGTGGCAGGACTGTTGACACCCTCCATTGTTGTCAAAACACTCATTCTCATCTACACATAAACAAACACACAAAGGATCTGAACTCTCATCATAAATGGTTTGAATTAGACTTCAATTATTTAGATCCGATCCCGCGATCCGTGACAGCAAAGTGGTCACAAAATTTAGTAATAACCAAAACTTAGATTTATATAGTTCAAAAACAATATTTCAGTATATAATTTTGGTATGATTATATTATAAATCCAAAACGTCACTAAAAACCTCTGTTATTAAAATTAACTTTAACTTTAACTCATTTAAAAGCATTGTTTTGGATTTTGAAGGGGCCGGACCAGACCAAATCAGACAAGTCCAGCTCTAGCTTAAGTGTCTCCTACAAGCTCCAAGCACATGTGGATATTTTATAATTCAAAATATTTTAAGGCTCTATGAATTAGATGTAAATAATTTCCAATAAACTTACCTATACACTGTTTCCCATTTTGACGAAATCCCTTGAAACAGAAACATTTGGGTTTACCACCGACTTCTTTACAACCATGGTCACAACCGGCATTGATGCAGCCAATCTTCTCTAAAAACGACAAACCGCTATTAACTGACTACAGTCTTATGTAGATAGACGTTCATTACAAGTGTAAGTCTACAGAATAATAAGGGAGGCAAATCTTCTTTCTTTTCTATATATAAATGTGAAATTCCGATCAACGCATAGGCCAAACTATAGCACCCAGAAGCATGAGATTTTGCATACATATTCCTCTCGTAGCATATGCAGACAATAAGAAGTGATTTTACAAAATTCCCAAAGGGCCCCGTTCCACAGAATGTCAAAGTTAGCATGGAGTTCGTATAGGAAGAATAATTTGTTTTGGGTTTTTGTTTACATTATTGCAGATGAGAACTGTTTGAAATTACAGTAGTTGTCTGAATTTATTTAATCATCAGCTGTTGGAATAAAAATTAAGTTCACTAAGGTTATTTCAGACCATATAAACATCATAGTTGTAAAATTAACCTAATAGACGTTCATTACAAGTGTAAGTCTACAGAATAATAATAAGGGAGGCAAATGTTTTAATATTTCATAAATATATTTTAATGCATGTAGTTATTGTTCCCTACTTACTTCTACGAGTCAGACATATGGGCAATGTTCCAATCCACTTGCTGTTCTGACAGCCCAGGTTGCGATTGTGAGGATTGTGTAGTTTGTATCCTGCCACACATCGGTAAATCGCCACCAAATACTTCTGACTACCCGATTTCCTTCTGTGAGAATGAAATAAGCAGAATTTAATTTAATCCATATTGTGATTTTCTTGTAAGATTTTATTACAAAAATCAATAAAATCATTGTCATTTTTGTTTTATTGTCTTTACCTTGAGACACCAACATACTAAGTGAATTTTTTTTTAATAAGGATGCAATATGAGTGTAGAATAGAGTTTGATTATCAGTTTAGTTTTGTTATTGACTAAGATCAGCTGTTTATTTAGCAGGGAAGGGACCATACATTTAAAAGTTCAAAGATCAAGAAGAGCTGGGTTCAGTACTGAACCATCCAAAAGCTAATGTCTTTTCTCAGCATAAAACCTTTAGATCATCAGACAAGCAGGATAAATGATTTGCCAAGATGTTGTTTTTTATGGCAATTTGCTATATGCACAGTACAGTTGGTATTGCAATGGCATTGCCAATGTCTTCTCTTTAGCATTTGGCCAAATCAAATTAACTTCTTTTTTTCTTATTAAGTACTCAAAGTACTCAAACTCAAACTAGTATAAGGTACAGTTACAAGTTATAAACAGAAGTATCATGACGAATATAAAAACTATTACATAACATGTTTACATAGGTATTGTAATTTTTATACAATATGTATTACAGCATCTTTTTTCTAAAGCTTTTGTTCACACAAAGCCAGTAGGCAGACACTTTACCTGCCTCAGGTAACTTGAAATCAATTAACTAAAGTAGGCTAAATAATTAAATACAATAACTACCGGTACGATGCCTACCAGCACAGAAAACATACTGTTTTCTGTGCTACCAGCCACCACACTCAGCTGTATGAGAGCGTTGTGAGTCTTTGGTAATGAATGTGTTAAAGTGCATTTTTAAAGCAGTTGCTCTAATAAAAAAATCACTTTGATCATTCAAATGCCCTATCCCTTTGCGACCAGAGACCATATAAGTTCACCCCTGTCTTTTTCTTACCTTACCTAACAAACTTGGGTCCAACAGAATTCGGCACTTTTGGTGGTCTTACAAATTTAGGAATTCCGTTGGTTGTACCCAACAAGCAAGATGTGTCAAAACTCTTCTCCGGCGAAGAATCATTCCCTGAAACATATAAATTCTTTATATGATTTCATAACACCAAATAATAGTAGATTTTTAAATATATGTAAACACTCATTTAAGTTGGTTAACAATTAGTAGAGTTTCAGAAATTAGCATTGTTTTGATTGTTTTGGATTCATCATATGAAATTGCTGGGATACAAAAATATACCTTCAGCAATGGCTGATGTATCCATCCTCTTGTCTTTTCGTTTTCTCTTCCTTTTCTTTCTCATTTGCTTGGTTTTGATCACTCTTCTGGCTGATACGCTTCTCTCAGTTGATGGTAGCTCTTCACGGCTGTCAATTTGAAAATCTTAATATTTTTCACTAGCTATCACAATTACAGTAATATAAGTACATATAATCAACATAATATTGTCTAGTCTATTTAAATATAGGTACAAACTATCCTGAAGGGAACCTTTTCTTGCTGTTTTAATCCTACATACAAATTATATATTTCTAATATCCTTAAATTTAACTCAACGAAAACATGTTCAAGATAGCTTCTGTTAAAGTGTGACACAATTGAAGTTTTATTTCTCTTTTAGTTTTTCCTTTGACTTCAGACAGAACATACAACCCATTGCCACGTAAAATCTGTAGCTAGTTTTAGTTGAATTGTTACTCCAACACAGTGGGTTGAGTAAAATAACTGATTTCTATGAATTCGCCAACCACTAATTCTTTGACTGAATACTTTACAACCAACTGTATATGAAGTCAAGGTAATTTATACAGTGTATCTGCACAATGACAATGACAATGACAAATTCTTTATTTAACCTGCCCTGAGTTAGACCAGAGGTCCACTCTTCCCCCAGGACAGGAACAACAAATATACAAACAACATATACATGTACAGAGTTGTGGACTATGAAAATCTAAAATTTACTTTTAATAAGTAAAAAACACAAATTATATAACAATACAGATGTGTAAAAAAGAAATTAACTTACACTTACAAATCAAATCAAAACATTACATTGATATAACTAAAGATTTTATCACCTAAAACTATTATGGGATTGTCAAACAAAATGAGGATACCTAACATTTATACATGTGTAAAAATTAATAGTTGAAAAATAAACACACTACATCTTCATTACATAATGATTTTATATCTTTGTAATAGAGTGAAAATTTAAAAACGTACGTTTTCAGGAAAAGCACTTTGCAAATTTTTTTCCCCTTTTTTTCAAAACTTTTATTATTATTTTTATTTCACTAACATTTGAAGTTTCATAAAATGTCGATGGTAACGCAATATCTTTGGTATTTTTTTTTAAAGAGCATCTTTAGTGGAAAAAACACAAAATCCTGTCACGACCATAACAGACGTTTAAATGAATATTAAAAATAGTTAATATTATTTTTATAACTATGTTTTGCTATAAACTAATTTACTTTTATGACCATTATACAATATAAAGGTCACTGAGCTTTTGGTATATTTGGTCTTTCTAGAAAAAAATAAAAAAACTCAAAAAATTGAAAAAAAGCCAATAAAATCTTTTTAAGTTTGTATAACGCCGAAAAAACTTACCTGAGACCCGAAAAATCGCTATGTTTGTATAAGGGTGTGCTTCTTTTGTGTATAAAACATTGAAATATGACGATATTTTAATTTTTGAAATTTTTATGATAGAAATCATAAACGTGATGGTCAGGGACAAGCGGTACGGTCGTGAATTTTCTGAAATAATCTAAATCTTTCTAAACAATCCTTCAATTATACTGTTAGTTATAATAAAAATAAGTGTTTCAATTGAACTAAACTGTTCAAATTACAATTATATTAAAGTTATTGTCACGACCAAACACACTATAATCCATAAGGCTGGATTGGTCGTGAAAAAACCCGAGATGGTCGTGAAACTTTGGTCGTGAATTTACGTGTTATTTGGCTCTGTTCTGGCGGTAGCCCTGCACCTCATGTTCGAGGATACAAAGTGAACTTCTAGGTTAATCTATCAATTGAAATATCTTATAAACAAAAATTAACACCATGTCTACTACATCGAATGACTACGTACGGTCATGGACACACCAAAATTACAAAAAACACAATCTTTCCTTTATTAATCTTGTAATTCCTAATTTCAACTCGAAACGACCGACACTACAATCCTGACGTACACCCCGAACTAGTCTCTAAAACCAACTGACTCCATCGACGCCAGGCTTGCCACTGTCGTGCTCCAAAATTGAAAATTTTTCCCAAATGGTCGTGACGCCAAATCGAGGGACAGACTTATTTTGTCATGGTAGTCAGTTTGCAATGACAATAAAATTATAATATGCTCCTTTTTTGTAAGTTTAATAACCATTGATGACAAAAAAATATGGCTTTATATATTTCGGCATGAATAATTAGTCTAAAAACAGCGTGAAAGTTGGAAAATGTACCCTAGGGACACGTCATGGTCGTGAATTTAGAGACTTTAAAAATACGAAAAAAATACCTAGAACCTATTTAAAACCAAATAAATGTGTGTAACATGTTGCCCCCGTCCCAAAAAATATTAAAACACATAATAATAAACTACATATCCAGTATCTACAAAGTAAAAGGCCAGGGACATGAAAACGTACGTTTTTAAATTTTCACTCAATAACAGATTTTTTACTGCTTTAGAAAAACTTTTAGGGTTATTAAGGTTTTTTATCTCACTATCTAAATTATTGATAAGTCTAATCGATAATACATCAACATACATAAGTCTAATCGATGCACAGTGAAAAGTAGTGTGTACAGTACAGGATACTCAAAACTAAATGAAAAATTTCCATAATGTGATTTTTGTCCACTAATATTTTAAATCTATGGTTGTAATACTTATAACTTGTACAGTAAACACTTTAACATTGTGACTGACCTGACCAGAATGCCCTGGTCCCGAGCCGTCCCATCAGTCTGCTCACCTGTGTGGACATTCAAAAGGTTAATTAACCAACCAGTTCCATTCATCTCAGCTCTAATAACTTACTTTGCTCCTTAATAGGCTGGTTTGATCTGTCAAAGTAGTATTTAGCATTACATTAGATTGAACAACATATAAACAGGACCACTTTCAAATCAATGCATTTGGACTGGCTTATCAACTAATATATGTCTTTTGATGGGTGTTTATTTATTTTTGATTATAGGGGCAGAGAGATGTATTAGTGGAAATAACTACTTTTAAATTTTTCCTTTAAAAAAAAAACATTCTGAAATTGTAATAATATTTTAGGTTCTATTCTTTACGTACCGTATTGTAACTGTAGAAATGTATTTTAGGATACAAAAATAAAACAGAAGGCTTAAATGAACTCTAAAGCCCTTCATGGCCTTTAGCTCTGCTAGAAATAATATTATTAAGCGTGAAATGCATAATAGGACACTAGTTAATGCATCTGCAAAATAAATAAATTTGGCAGTAAACCATGTGATGCTAATCCAAAATCTTTATTTATAAAAATATCACCCTTTACCAGGTGAGGGACTGTCGCGCACCTTGCCACCGCAGTCGCATCCCATAAAAAGCTCCTTTACTGTACACGTCCACTCTATTCCCGACACAAAAGGAACTACTTTAGACTGTTCTACTTTTGACTGCATAAACAAAAGCAGGTAGCTTACATATGTGTATCAATGTATTTTAAAAAGAGTTTATGATGTAACACAAAATATACTACCTACAGTATTAAAAAAAAAGTTTATCCAAAAACTCACTTCTGAATTTTTTTATGAAATTAACATTATTCTTCACAAAAAATAAATACAGTACTGTACAAGAAAAGTAATCATTAAACTATTGTCAGAAAGTACAGAGTAAAATTTATAAGTAAGTATTAACAATGATATGATATGGGTAAATAAATAGTTACACCTGAATGTCTTGTGACAGCTACACACGAAGGTAAAGGTGTGGTCCATACTCCTCTAAGACACACACTGTAGAGATGACCAGTCCTGTAGTATCCTGGGTCACAGGAGTATGTCACCATGAGTCCTGCTGTCCTCTGTAGTAAAACTCTCACTCTGCCATGATCTGGAGCACCTCTCTCACTACACCCGGGGTGTCCTGCAACATGTCATACACTGTAATTTCCTGGGCCTACAGGAGTAGGTCACTATGAGCCCTGCTGTCCTCTGTAGTATAATATATAACATCAAATGTATACTAATTGTTTTAAGAGATTAGGATAGACAAGAAAAAGGTACAATAAAACTCTTAGGTAGGAAGAAAACTCTGGTATTGAATCATTTTGAGACCTGTGCCTCTTCAGGACCTTCCCATTTCATTACTGTGCACTGTCAGCAGCCACAAATTTATTGTAAGTTTCAATCAGACTTCTGAATTAAACATGACTTGGAGATAGTGTGGGCGGAAGGTCTACAATGAGCAGACCACATAGTATCAGCAGTATTTCTACTGAATATGTATGGGCTTGTTATAATGATGGGTAAACATATTTTATAAATACAAATAACCTATACGGTTATAAGAGCGATTTTCACTGGAAAAAGGTTTTTATGGATTCCAATTTTTTTTTATATTTTGGTAGATGTGTTAACCTCTTTTTTTACTGTCTTTTACTCTTGTTGTTGTTCTAACCATTACATTTGTAGCTATTTACTGTTAACAATATATAAATTATTGTAATTAGAGCTATCCATTGGAAATAAATAATATAATTAAAGAAGAATATTCAACCTTGATTATTAAAACACACTAGGTTAGGTAGTTCAACCGAGAATTCCTTTGTACTAAAGAGACAATAACAACATAGGATAAAACAATATGTTTACTGTCTATTTAGAATACTCCACGAGAACTACAATTTTACTGAAAGAATGTGCCACATACAAAAAAATTTGGCAAATTGATTGAAAGCCTTACTTTGTGTAATAACCTGACTTTGAGGTTAGAGCTTTGAGGTCAGAAGAACTTTGGTTATCTCTACTCCGATTAAGAATCCACAAAACCATTGTGCCCGAAAAACTGAAAATTTAAATTCTCTTTTCCATTCAGTGACCTTGTAATCAAGTCAAATGGAGTCAAGGTTTTTTTTAAGGGGACGGTATACAGGGTGACAATTAAGTATTATGATGACTGTATAACTTTAAAACGAAAAAAAAGATATCACAAATTACTGGTAATAGTAAGCTCCTTTTTGTGAATATTTTGATCGGTTGTCACCTATGAGGGACTGCTCATAGGGAGTAAGTTGAAAATCTTAAGGGTAAGCATAGGTACCTAGGTATTTAAAAAATGTAAATCAAATTAAAGGTCTTATTGAACTAAAAAAAATGCCTCAATTCGGACCTCAAATAGACAACCGAGTAAAAAATGGCATCCGTTCAAAGATTTCTTGAATCTGCCGTTTTGAATCTTTAAACGGCTGCCATTTTTTACTCAGTTCTTCGTTTGAGCTCAAATTTGCGGCATTTTATCCTCCTAATAAAGACCTTTAATTTGATAAGCATATCAACCAATGATTATTAAGTACATAAGCTTCTTTCGACTTCCTGAGGAGGTAGCGTACTATAATTGAAATAGCATTGCAAATTCAATGAATCTTTGAACAGGGGTGTAATTTTTCCTCATTTGAGGTTTGGTTTGCGGCATGTTTTTTAGTTCAACAAGACCTTAAATTTGAAGTAGGCTACATATCAACATATGCTTACCTGGCCACCTCCCATAGAGTATATACGATCAGCATATACGCAAAAAAGTACCTTACCAGTAATAATATGAAAAATTTGATTTAAGATATCTTTTTTCATTTTAAAGTTATAAAGTCGTCCTAAGACTTACTTGACACCCTGTATATAGGTTTCACTATCTGGTCTAGTGGTCTACACTGAAACATCTTATACTGTGTGACACGCCCATGCAGAATGGTTTTTACAATGCTTCCCCATCACACTAAGATCCTAGAGCTTATTTGAGTCCTCGAATCGGGGATGCGGAATACTATCCCCCGGAAAACTACCCCCCGAGGTGAAACGTGACGTCACAAAATCTGCTAACTAACCAATATGGAAGCCATACCCGCGACGGGGTAGCGGATTTCTACCCCCGGATATTTACCCCCATGAAAAAACGCCTACGTCATTTTGACGTCACGAGGGGCGGGGCCTATACACGGTCGAGAAACAGCCCGCGACTGGAAATCTACCCCCGGACATCTACCCCCGGACATCTACCCCCGGAAATCTACCCCCAGACATCTACCACCGTTGTCAGCTACGCTACGTATCGGCCAATATGCATTGTTGTAATTGATTTTATTAATTGGTTTACGTAGATCAACGGCTCTTCGGTTAATCATTACCCTCTAATATATAGTATTAAGCATGTGATATGTCATTGTCTTGTTTAACATTATCTATCTTCCTATTTCAATAAGCTGTAACAGTCCTTTTTCACCCGACCTACTTCGTCGATTTTTACGATTGAGGTGTCATTTTAAAGCTTAAGACCCATTGAAAGATCAACATGGCAACTCATAAGGCCCAATGCTAAATATTTTTAACTTTTAGATTCAATTTTCTCACAAGTTTATGTTTCTACAGGAAATACAAACACATAGGTGTATTTAGGCATAGGTGTATTTAAAAATCAAAACTACTCCTAATACAAAATGTAATCAAAGTCTTAGTTCCGTTTCCGAGATCCGAGATTTATACAATAATTGATAATTTAAAGTAATGGGGTATATGTTACAACTAGCTGTATACCCGTTCTACGGACGGGATCATTTAGCCAGTTGAAATCTTCTTATAATCAGAACAGCAGCTCCTTTGCATATATTAAGTGTGCATTTTCCTCAGATATGCAGGCAAAACTTCGTATACAGCACTGTTTCAGCGCCTTTTCCCCGGTTATCAAAACTCAAATCGAATTTTACACACAGACACAGAATCTCCGGTTAACGACTTGACTGATACCTAGAAATTTTATTTCATTTACAATTACACATTATTGCACTTACAATCCGTTATGTGAGGCACACAATTTAGTCTCACTTGGTTTTGGATTTTCTTACAAAACCGTGATCAAAAATGGTTGCAGTATTTGTAAACAACATTTAATGTAAACATATCCAGTGACAGCTAGAAAAAATCATCTTCATCCAAACAGCTGTTATCATATTATATCATATGTCTTATTCTCTAAACAGATTATTAGTATTTCATAAATGACGTATGTGGTTAACATTAGGGGAAAACTTGACAAAATCGCACAAAATTGGGGGTTTGAACGTCCATTATTTTAATTCAAAAATAGTGAGGCCACATTTTAATTTCTAAAGGCATTTTTGCCAATCCAGTGAATACAAAAACGACTATTTGAATTGAATCCCGATAAGATCCATCTTATGTCGTTTTTGAGGAGAAGTTCGCGTGAAAAGCCTTCTGGGCCGTTACAGACAGACAGACGGTCAGAAATTGAGAAAATACTTGTTTAACGTAAGAATCACCAAAAAGTATCATAATTTCTGAGCAATGTACAGACAAAACTCTAATCTTATTTAAATAGATTAGTAAAACCAAAAGTAACGATCAGCTGATGTTAAAAATGCCTTCCATATCCCGAAATGTACCATTTTAAACTTTTAAATTACCTTCATATTATCCGTTATTTCCCAAACAGCTTTGACAAATATCATAAAATATGTTTATGTTTTTTTTCAATTAATTCTTTGTGTAAACAACTAGACTTTTAGGCCAATGCAAAACTCCAAGGGATTAGGCTACTTCGTATTACTCTAGAGGATAATTGATAATGAAATAATTAATTAATTTATTGATCAACCAGTGGCAGGCTTTTTATCAACATTTAATCGTATTGTATTTGTACCTCTATTAATCAGAAAATAACCTTCTTCAATGATATGTATTAAATTTCACGATCTGCGCTCGTGCATGCGCCGTTAGCTTATACTGTATGTGAAAGTTGGTCAACCATTTAAATCACTGTCTGGAAATAAATCAAATGCTTAAGGGTCAACCTTTTGAAGCCCTTTATCAAAATATCGTTTTAATTACCATTTTGCGTTGCGCTGGATCTTAAGATTAAAGATTACACCTCAATCATAAAAATCGGTGAAGAGGTTCGGGTGAAAAAGGGCTGTTACAGCTTATTTCATTAGGAAGATAGATAATTTTAAACAAGACAATGACATATCACATGCTTAATACTATATATTAGAGGGTAACGATTAACCGAAGAGCCGTTGATTTACATAAAGCAATTAATAAAATCAATTACAACAATGCATATTGGCCGATACGTGGCAGAGCTGACCACGTGGGGTAGATTTCCGGGGGTAGATGTCTGGGGGTAGATGTCCGGGGGTAGATGTCCGGGGGTAGATTTCCAGTCGCGGGCTGTTACTCGACCGTGTATAGGCTCCGCCCCTCGTGACGTCAAAATGACGTAGGCGTTTTTTCATGGGGGTAAATATCCGGGGGTAGAAATCCGGCGACCCTCCGCGACTGGAATACTACCCCCCCCCCTAGACATATCATGCTATGTAATTTTAATTGTAATTCGAGTAATTCGGTTGGATAATAGAAAAGGCATGTGGTGAATATAAAACAGATTTTTGAAATGCTACAGCAAGTTTGGTTGGTTAGGTTAGGTTAGATTAGAACTGTTTGACAACTAAATTTGAGTGTCCGTGACTGGAAAACTACCCCCCCCCGGTCTCTGACGTCAATATGACGTAGGAACCTGCTTGGGGGGTAGTTTTCCGGGGGGCGGTCTTCCGGCGACCCCTCGAATCAATAAGTCTAGAACTTATAGAACCGGAGCTCAGCAGCCAGCCCTAAGTCTCTAATCGCTAATAGCCTCCTAATCACTTCACAATGGCAGTGACTTACTTTGTGTTCGCATTGTAAGCTGAAAAATGCAGGGTGATTGTAGAGTGGACTTAGGACAACTGTCTAAATCCTGGTCTTGTTTGTTGCTATCTAACAACGTCAACCTTTTGTTAGATCGCATCATTAAATTGACAGCCCAATGATGGGGGTTCAAAATCAATCTCGCTTGGAATCACACAACAACGTTGT